GCCCTGCTGCGGCCCCTGCGCTCCTGGCTGCAACGGAAGCTGCGCCGCATCCTGGGCACCGAGGAGCCACAGGCAGAAGCGCTGGCCAACAGCGTCATCTCGGCCCTGCTCCTCGTCGGCTTGGAGCAGGACATCCTGATGGAGAGGCTGGACCTCCACCTGCACGGCCACACAGGCAACTTGGTAAGGCAGTTCATCGCCTTCACCGTGCAGAAGTACGGCAGGGAGGCTCAGCGCTTGCTGGGCCTCAACGTCACCCCTGCTGCTGGGGCACAGGAGGTCACCGTGGAGCAGGCAGTGCCCCATGAGGAGCCAGGGCAGCCTGTGGCAGGGCCCTCTGGCCACAGCCTTCCTCAGTACTCCCAGCGAGCCCCAAAGAGGAAGGCCAGCGACTGCCTGGCCTCGGCATCGCCAAAGAAGAGGCCACCCAGCCGGCAGCAATAGAACAGCGGCCGAGCTGATGAGACTGGGGCCGGGCAACAGCTGGGACACACGCCGGCCCCAGTGGACCCTTGTCATCAGTGTCCATTTCCACCATGCAAATAAACTAGAAAGAAAGACCGCAAAAATACGTGTTGGTGTTGCTAACGGCACAGCCGTTGTTGCTTCCTCATCCTCGATGCTTTCTCCCTTTTTTCCTGGTGCCATGACGCTGCTGGCTTTGTTGTATCCCAGATAGGGACCCCACCAGCTTCAGAAGGGGAAAGGGCAAATTTCTGCACCTGGGGGGAACATCCCTGTATCGTATGACAGCTGGGGTTAGCCAGGTGGAGCGGACCTAGGAGTCCTGCTGGACACCAGGCTGAAGCAGCAAGCAGCCCAGGCTGCCTTGGTGAATGGTGTCCTGGGCTTCATGAGGCTGCATGCAGCCAGCAGATGAAGGGCGGTTATCCTGCCCCTCTGCTCTGCTCTGAGGAGGCCACAGCTGGAGAGCTGGGTTTGGTGGGATATGATGTATTTGGAGGGATGGAGGGTCAGTATGAGGAGCAGGGTTGTCCCCAGCCTTGGAGAAGAGCCCGTCCTCCACCCACGTGTGACATGCCCTCCAGCATCAGCATGACAGGCTGCACACAGCCTCTACATTATTGTGGGAGGTGTTTTCAAATCAAAATGGGACATTCCCCCCCTGACATACGTCGTACGGCCTTTTGTGGCTGCTGTGTTGTTTCAGGACTGTGCTCCGTTCGGGGCATTCTCAGACCCTGGACAGGGTGAGCATTTGTGGGTCAGTTTGTAGAAGTCATGCAGGGCTGGAGATGTTTCCTCGGCCTCTCCAGCTGTCAAAACCATGGAATTCCATGGCACTGTGACTCTTGTCATGCACCTTATCACCCTGCATCTGGTCTGTTCCAGATTTGCATAGGTTGTGCTCCATCCCTTCTGAGTGCTAGGAACCATCTCCAAGGGCTGAGTTCACCAGGGATCAGTGCAGAGTCCCCCCCTTCTCCTCCATTTAGGATGAAGCACCCCAGCACCAGTTCAGCCTGGGTGTATCCAGTCAGGTAAGCACTACGCAGAAATGGAACTGTGGTTCTGTTGGACATGGCAATGGTAGGGCCATGCTTAAGGCCATCTCCTGCTTGCCAGCTCAGTGTGGGTTTTTCACAGTCTCCACTGGTGCAAAGGCCACATCTGGCCCAGCATGCCTCTGCTTTGCAGCACGGCCATGGCTCCAGGTGACAGATTTTGAATTTCTGCCTCCCTTATGTTTCTCACCTGCCCAGGGGGATGCTGTTCTTGCCCTTGTTCCTCCTTACCCCACCATCCTGTGGTGACATTCTGGCCCTTCTTGGCCATCCCCAGAAACTGGACTTAGGAAACCCTTGGCAGTACCTCATGAGGGCAGTTGGCAGTGAGAAGCAGTTACCAATGAGACGCAGGCTTTTTCTTCACTGCGGCTGGTCCAAGCATCAATGCCAGTAGCAATGCTTCTCCATAAGCAAGAAGACCCATTTTTGTCCTCTTTCTGCTCCCCTCCCACTACTGCAGTGTACTGCTGCTTTTTAGGGATTCAGGAAATGTGGTGAGCATTGCCTAATATTTAATGTTCTTGATTCTTTCTACAGTCATTGACAAACAGGGCTGAGATGCTGGAATTAGTAAAAAATCTGAGGGCAAAGCAAGTCATGCCCTCTGGCCAGAGGAGACCAAAGTCTTGTGAACCTCCATGATTTGAGGGAAGTATAAGGGCTCAACTCTTTGGAGAAGGAATTTGGAACACCATGACTATAAGCAACTGCAGAGGGAATTTTAAATTAAATAATGATTTAAAATTTTAATATAATTTAAATTTTAAACATTTTAAAATATTTAAATAGATTGGCATCTAGTAAGAGTAGAGATTCAAGATGTTTTGACTACTCTGATTCTTTCCCAAATAATCTGAGTATAAATTTGCCACCTCATTTCCAAGTATCAACATCGTTGGTCAAAGAGGAAGTCACTAAACTACTACGTGCAGGTGATATGCTTGCAAGTTGAAGAAAGAGGGCAGCAAAAGGATAGCTCATTTTCATCCACAGGATTGAGGGAGTTTCAGCTCAGGGTTTTCTGTAATCAGTATAGGCCTACATAGTGCAAAGCTTTTCTTTACGGGGTGCTAACCAAAATAAATCTGTTCCGACACAGTACTCCAGACTGCTTTCACTTCAGAATAAAGGTTGCATGCCTAAAGCCAGAGGGATTTTTTCTGTGATGAAGTCACCATTCTCCTAAAACTGAATTTTCTTGGGGAGGAAGTCTGACATGGTTAATGATGGAAACAAAAATGTAGAAGTTCTGACACCACCCTGAACACCAACTCTGGAAAACAAAGCAAACAGTCTGTGTGCTGAGTTCTGCCAGTGTGACCTAAGACTGTGGGGTTGAGTATCTCCTGAGTGCTGCTTCACTCCAGCAAAAGCCACTGTTGCCTCACACAGCTGATGAAAACGTACTTTATAAAATGTTGTTTTTCTTTCACATGTTCATTCAGGAAGGATGATGAACATTACACTTTAAGGGATTCCGACATGCATGCTTTATTTCCTTACTATCCATTTCTCTGTTACGTACTCCGTTCTGGTATTATCAGAGGGATTACGTGGAGGCCCACATACTATCTGAACATGGAAGAGAGGGTTAGGGCACACAGATGGATGCCACGCTGTAGATAGAAGTGAATGGGCACAGATCCATTGGTTAAACTGCATCTATTTGTACTGACTGGGGAATAGGGATGTGAATGCTGCACAACTAGGTTTTATCTTTAGCTTTACAACTTGTTTATTTTGACAGCTTACAATGCAGTTGTCTCCACATAGTCTCAGTTCTGTAACTTATAATACATGATTTTTTGAGGCTTCTTGCCTTTTTACTTTCACTTATGGGGCCCATCTCACCTTTCAATATGGTTCAGTTTTATTTTCGTCAAACACACTCACATTTGTCAGTAGAGAGAAACTATGCTGTAGTGCATACAGATACCACATCCTTTTGTATTTCTTCTTCCCCTGGAGAAATAAATTACTTCATCTATTGTTGTCAATTATACTACAACCTTATTGTAAGTTTAGGTTGGTCCATAGCACTGAAGAAGCTACAACGAAGTAACCAAATGTTCAACATGTTTCTCACAGATATGTAGCCACCTAAAGACAGGTAACCTGTCCAAATTATTTATATAGGTTTCCCCTCTAGTCTGTGGATACAGAAAAATACCTCTGGTGGGAAAACAATCCAGTCAGTCTCAGACATCTAATTTTGGACAGGATGAATCATTTTCTAGAAGCACGTTTCCCTTCGCTGCCTACAAATAGAGCCCAGACCAAGACTAGACATCCAATTTTTGGATTTCTGAGGTTAAGTTAAGGAATCGTAGAATCGTTAAGGCTGGAAAAGATCTCTAACATCATCTGGTCCAACCATCAAGGGAGTCCTACTCAAAATTGCACTATCATTATGTTTCAATCCAAAAATTTGTTGCTGTATCTTCATGATATAAAACTGACACTTTGTCAAATAAAAGAAATCAGAGATAATGACAATGATCCTAGGAATAAAATGTGAAGCACTATTTATTCTAGAAATGCCAATTTTAAAATGGGATTTATCAAGCCTAGAGCAATCTCATGAAAACTAGGTGGCAATCTTAAGCTTGGCAATGCAAGTCATGCTGTGCTTTCACTTTCCCCTTGGAAATATGACAAAAGCTCTCGGTATACTCTGTACATTTCTTTGCCATGCCTCCTCCTTAGTGCCAAGTGTAGTCAACACAAATTATCTTTAAATATAAGATTCAAAGCTCTTCACATGCTACATTTATACAATTTCTTGGTGCTTCTTTGGCATGTAAAGTAAAGCCAATCAGCGTCTTGTAAACAGAGTCCCCTCTGAATTGCCTTCTTATGCAAAAAACAGAAACAATGTTGAATTTGTGTGCATCCCAAATAGGCATGCACAGTGTGATTGATGCACACTGCTTTTGTAACAGCCCATGCCACTGGGCAGGAGGCTCTGCTCCACACATATGTTGGCCAGGACAAATACAATCTGTGTATGGACACAGAAACAAGAAACAGCAAATCACGGCTTAGCAAAGGGACTGTGCAAAGCCAGGTGTTAGAAGCTCCCAAAGCTGCTGTGTGCCTCGTGACAGGAGCCTATGTGCAGCAGCTCTGCACCACCTGCTCTGGGGCTGGACCCTGGGTTTCTGTCTGTGGCTTCTGCAGGCTCTCTCCACCTCCATGGCAAAGGGGCTGCTTCAGCTGCCTTACTGAGACTCTGTATCACTAACAATAGTGGTGCCAACAATTTAAAAAAACCCACAGAAATGAAACAAAACACCTTGGCTCCAGTCACTCACTTAACAGACTCCTTCCATTCTTTCTGCCAGCTGAAGGCAACCTCAGAGCTGAAGCGTTTTCCCTTCCTCTCAGTACTGTCTTTTCTTGCCAGCTCTGCTGATTTTTTTCCTGTCTACCTGATCTCAAACTAAATGAAAAAACAGTCTTTGCAAATGCTCTCTGGAGGAACACCGAACTGGATGTGAGTTTTCAGGAGAAGGAATACAGTCCTCAAGTGTTTGACTTATATTCCAGTAGCAAATTCCCATTACTTTAGGTCAGGTCCTTTGATGGAGTAGTCTGGCAAGGTTCATTTCTGACAGCAGAGGTGCACTGGTTTATAGCAGCTCAAGGTTTCCTCCTGCCTTTGTTTACCAAATGACTGCTGAACTTCCAAAAGTTATGAGGTTAAGAGGCCATGCAGCTGCAGCCTGCTTTTGCTGGTAGAGAGGCAGAAGGGATGTCAACTTCAGCTTCTTCCTTTCCCAACAGAGTCCTGTCCCACTGATGGTGCAGAGATGGCGTTCATTGGATTTTCTACAGCTGGGGAATCATTAAATTTAAAACAAAAAATGGGTAGATCTTGTTTATTTGGTAATAAGTACACAAAAACAGGTATTGGTAAATTCCTGGAAGGTAAGTGCTGACGGTAACCATTCAGTATTTAGTAATGTCTTTCATGAGAATCAACAGGGCTGAAGAGAGATGATTTTTCTTTGAAATTAAAGAAACTCTGAAATTTGGACCGGTTGAAATAAAAAGTCCACATTTCTTCTTGAGTAGTCTGCTAAGTTCTGGGGAAAAAGTGGAGAAGACTACACCATGATTTTTCTGCTTCTTTTTAATTAAACTTGCAAACAGAGGAAGGTCAAATAAGCATCTGGCCTGTGCATTATTTATCTACTTGGAACACAAAGTCTGTTGCCTTGAAAACCACAAGTTTGTTTCTAGGTAAGAATTTCTTTATGTTAGGAGATTCTTGGAGTAAGAAGATTTATGTGCCTCACATCTCTCTTTGTGCAGCCTCACAGAGAAGGAGCAAATCAAGAGTGTGCGCATGTGCACCTGTGTGTATGCAATATCTCGGAGGATGCCCATTCAGAACAGCCAAATATATGACCCAGCATTAGTATACAGCATATCTTGTTATGTTGGTCACAAATTATAATGGAGGCGCAGAGCTACTGCAGCTGAGTGCAGATATTCACAGCCTTTGTTTACTGCCTCCCTGGCAGGAGATATATGTGGAACTATCTGTACAGCATGAGTGCACTATGCACCACCGTGCTCAGCTCGGCCATGAGAGTGCTCTAATATATTGAAATAGAGCAGCTGGGTAGCATGAAAACTAATGAAGTGAGTGATCCCACTGCTTCCTGGAACAAATCACCCCCCTGATTCACCATATCTCCATTTAGCCCATTCCTCCACCATTTAGAAACCACCTCAGTGCTATCTAAATGTAATAGGAAATGGCACTTGAAACTGAAGTTCACTGTTCTCCCATGGAATAGATCTAACTAAGACGTGTCAATGTATTTCCAACCCTGCAATGAGACTTTGTGTTATTCCTGCCAACAGAAGCAACATTCAAATTTCCCTTTCCTCCAGACAGGCTGTGCCATGAAGGGAATCCAGGCAATTTCAGCTTCACTGCAGAGCACAGCCCTCAAGAATGAACCACACTGATCGAGGCTGTTCTGCTTCCTCTAGGAAAAGCAGCTCTGCCAAGAGCTGATCTGCTAAATCCCCACAAACCTAAGCTGGTTTCAGTCAGTGCCAATGTTAGTGGCTGTGCACCATGTGCCTAATGAAGAGGACAGGCAGCAGGTACTGGGATGGCTCAGGGAAAAGCACTCCTGAGACCAGCAGAGCTCATGTGTCAATGCCCAGCATCGCTCTAAGACAACCCAGGCTGGTTCCCTGCTCACAACTTGGCCATCTGCCCAACATCCTCCCCATCAAGACCTGGCATCCAATGGGACAGGATGAAGATGTTTAAGCTGCATTCACCATGAGAAGGAGGTTTACACTAAACAGAAGTGCTATAGGCCTGTGCATTTAAAGGAGCTGGAAAATAAGAGTTTGTAGAAGTGCTCTACGGTGTTCCAGCTTAGCATTTCCTATGGTGAAAGTGGCAGAAGGGCCAAAGGATATGGTTAAGACAAAACCAGTGAAATCACGGAAACAACGTCAGTTCACTGTGGTTTGTGGTTATAGTGAGTGATGCCATCATACAATCACAGCAAACCACAGAGCATGTAATTTAGTGGAATGTGGCATAGTTATAAGGTGAATATATTTGTCATGCAGTAGCAATGGTTGAAACAATATCATGGTTTTCTGTGTGCTGAGGTTTCTCTGCAGCCCAGCACCCTGCTTGTTGGATCAATGAACTCTGCACCCACAGGTTCCTAACACAACATCCTTACAGGATGAACAGGACTAGGTGCATCCCAGCTACACAGTAGTTTTCATCTGCAATATTTTTTATGGGCCCAGACTTCGCTGAGGACACAGTGCTTTGGCCCCTAAGGACATTTCTTCGCAGTACATTTCAAGTGAGATTGCATTTGCTCTTTGGGAGAGACATAAGTCTAATTTATGTACATTAGGCATGATTAGAATATGGATAAGATTCTCATTCATTACCTACTTTCTTTGAAATGATGATCCTGGTACGTTTGTTATGAAATCCCAAACCAAGAGTAAAAGCACATTTTCAAGTTTTGTTTTAAGCCTGTATTTAGCAAATCCTTTTTTGTTTTTGTTCACCAGGCCTATGAGAATGCTGTAGATTTTTTCTTTTCTTCCTCAACAGCTCGTGTTTTTTGTTTTTTTTTCCCCACATTACATAATCTTTTGTTTCAAGCATTCCAAAAACATGCATCATTTAAACTTCACAAAGACACTGTGCCCTGGATTCAAATGGGTAAACTGAGGTAAATAGGAATCTGAGCAATTTCCTTGAGATGCTGAGCTGAACGCAGAAATCCAGAGCTTCAGAACTTCCATTCTGTTAACAAGTACATTGCAGATCCTTAAGCATCCTCCATTTTTCTGGAGTATAAAACCATCATCATAATGCCATCCTCGTAATATGCTGTAAGAAAATAGTCTGCTGTTGACACAGGCACGTTGTCCAGAGACTTTATGAAGGTGCTCTGAAGAAACGAAAACCAATACTTGAAGAGCATGAAGGCTCTCTGACTGGGGAGAACCTTTATACAAGGGATGTTTAGGAGCTGTTCTAAACTCCACCAAAATTTCCCATTGGATTAAATTAAGCTTGGCTCAGGACCTAATCTGCTATATTGTGCAGATATTTCTTGAGTTTAGGAAGTGACAAATCATCTGTGCAGAGCTTAAATGAAAGGATAAGGGCAGCAAAGGGAAATGGTAGCTGCAAAAACAGAACAAGGAAATGACAGAAGATCATTAATTGCCACTTTCTCTTTTAAAAGAAGACAGAGAAAAATTGGAAAGCGGTAACTGGGAAATGAAGTGTGCTCCATACCTGAAAAGGCAGTGTCCATAAAAGACAAGAAATCTAACAATATTCATGGATAATTAACCTCTCTCTCCCTGCCAACTTCTCTGTAAGTATATGTAAAACTTTATCTACCTGACATAAAATATACATACTTTTATGCCATTAGGAATTATAAAGAAGAGTTTCACAATTTGCCTATTCATCCACTGAGGCAAAACAGCGAACGAAACCAGACAAACATCACAGGCTTACATGAGAACAAGATCCCATGATGTTGGATGCACGACTGCCACTTTGCAGAATTCAGGGGTGCTGCAGAGCACAGCATTAGCACACTCCTGGATGAAGTGGGGAGGGACTGCAGCATTTGGGAAGGGAAGAGAGTATGCCATATATCTATGTCACCACTGGGACAATTGCTTTGAGATTAGAGGGGAGATAGATAGTAGAAGACTTTTTTAGCTGATTTAAAACTTCTGATCCTCCACTGCTAAGACATACCCAAACTTTTCCCAAAGTTTCAGTAATATAGTCTGAGATCTTTTTCTTTAAGGACAGATATTTTCCTTAGAGGGAGTATGGTCAATAGAAATATGCCTTGATAAATGATACTGCATACCATGGGGAGTTCTTTGCTTCTCCTTTAGCTGATGCTATGGTCAAGGTCACTGGTTACTTTATGGTTGTTTTTACATACACTGAATATAATGCAGAATTTATACAAGACAGAAGCAACAGCTTTTTTCAGAGAAAGAGCTGGAACTGTCAAATTCAGAGCCAGGCTCCCAGCTGGCACACAGCATACACTGAAGGCAGTCCGTTTTCAGCCAAGAATCACAGCCTTGGGTTTTTGCTTCCTTCAGGAAAGAAGAGGGGAGATGATCCGTGTCTTGTTTCTGCTACAGCGAGGGATGTATTAACTTCGCTTTGGGTTTCTCTTTATCCTGTTTTGGCAACTCCACGCTGCAGTTATAGAGCAAGACTCACCATGAGCGAACAGGACAAGATGGGATCAGGGAGCTTGCTGAAATCACCTTGGGTTTGAGTGGCTGCCCTGTGGATGGCAATATTGCCAGGACTCCCCAAAGCATGGCGAGTAACATTCTGGCCCATCACTTTCAATTAAAAGTTTGATCACAGTTTGAAACTCTCATGAACAGACTCCCTGGAGCATAAGAATAAAAGGCAAAAGCTCACAGACCATCTATAAATTGTAGGTGGCAATGCACCAGTGCATTTTTACCACACACATAATATCCTCTTGATAGTGTACCCTGCAATTCATCTATGTGTGTGACGTATCTGTGGAAATTAGGACCCGTTCTCAAATTAGTCAAGGCTGTAATTCACTGGATAATTCACTCAGAGCAAATAACTCAGGATTATGAACACATGATGCAAAAGGCTCATTTGATGACCTCTGTGGATGATCAGCAGCCCTTAACCCCACTCTTACTGCGACGTTGGTTATCCTCAATAAAATTACTGCACACCTGGCGTTATCTTTTCTCTCATGACACTCTCAGCAGAAGCACTTACAAATGAAGTGGTGTAGAGACTACAGTGTCATGATAGGCTTTCAGAACATTGACAAGATAATAAGAGGGAACACCTAAGCTGAAGTAGCATGGGACAGCCCAATTCTGGCATTTTCAACTTCCTGTGCACTTTCGTTTGCTATTTCTCCCATTGGTTACATCCCACTTTGCACTGCCACAGAAACTTCTAAACGTGCTCTGAGCAGAGTGGATGAAGTTGGTACTATCAAGCGAGTGAGTCACAAAATACACAGACAGACTACTATACAGTCATCCTTTTGGTGACAATGGCTTGAGATTTGAAAGTGAAAAGATATAACCAATGATAAACTTATTTTGGTTCATGCAGAAAGGATTTACATCCGTGCTTCTGCTATTTGGCACTGGCACCTAATGCAAGTCACCTCTGCAAAATGAATCCTCAACTCATGGGTGAACATTGTTGATGCACATGAAGGGCAAGTAGATGTAAGAACTGGTAGCTGGGAAGGCTCTTCAGTCTTCCTCATGCCATCAGCTTACTTTTCAGACTGCAGTTCTACACATCTCATTAAGCTTCTTCTGAAACAACCTCCTTCATTAAAAGGTACAACAAAATGTGGAGTGGTCTTGCCCTGTTACTTAAATGGGATAAATGTGGACAGGGGACTTCCAGGTGTGAAAATTGTGAACTGCAGCAGACATGGATGAATGATCTTATCTCCATAAGGTGCAGATTTAATTTCCCTCTTTAAAAACACTCAGCGTTTTCCTGCAGTGTCCAAATAAGCCCAAAAATGGGTGTGAAGGGACAACTTTACACCAAGCCTACCTTCACAGTGCCTGGATTCATTTAAGGGTGGTGGACACCCAGTCAGCCTGTAAAGGAATCGATATTGCTAGTCTTGGAGATGAGACTTCATAAATCCACAAATCCACAACGCAGAGTATGTAGCTGAAAAGAGTGCTTTCACGCTGCACTTCCAATTTGTCTTAAAACTGCCCCCAAGATCTCCGTGCAGTTTCTGCTGTGGTGCTGGGACTGCTACCAGCATCACATGAAATGGTGGCTTCCCTGCTGTGGATTAGACTGAGGCCTAGGTACGTGTCCCACGCAAGGTGCAATTCACTTGCAACAGCAGCTGGGTCACAATCAACCACTCTGCTGACGTACAAGTGCAAGCCTTTGCAATCCAATCCCAGTCACTGGCATCCTCACTGCTGGAGCCATTTAATCTCAGCACCAGGCATGACTGAACAGGTATCTGCAATGCAGCAGAAGTAGATGAGGAAAAAAAAGGTTTCAGTAGAGACTGTCTGCTCCATCATCTCTCTAACAGTAATCCAGACTGTAATTTGCTCCTGAGTTCTTCTGGACATCCTGAACACAATGAAGAGAATATCAACATTAATTCTGCACAAGTATGCTGACAATTGTCTGTGTGCCAGTGCCCAGCCTGTTTGAATTGTTTTGGTTTTTTTTATTAAAAAAAAAAAAAAGCAAAAAAGCAGCCTCAGAACATGACAATAGCTAAAGCAGAAGAACCAAACAGAAAGGCAATAGGATTGCCTGTCAGCCACAGGACCTTGCTGACTTCAAATTTAGATATAAAAAGTACCCGCACCAGTTTGCCAGGATTCCTCTTAAGAAAGAATGCTGGTGACTGCAATGGTGGAGAAAGAGCCAGGTCAGATGGCATCTCCTTCTCAGCTCCCACAATTCATACGCTGCTTTCTTCTCACACTGGAAGCAGAGAGCTGCACCGGCATTGAGAGCTGCACTTCTGAACTGGACCTATTAAGTTCACTTCTCAAAAAGTCTATGCTTTGCCCATGCTTATTTGAAATAGAAATGGTCACCCAAATGGTCCATTCAGAATAAAAAGATATGTTTTGATGATTTAGCTTCAAAAGCAAACCCTCTTGATTTCTGAAATATCTTTACATGCAATATTGAGAAAAATCAATTCAAGGGCAGCAGAAATTGCTCAGGAGGTGCTTAGCAGCAAAGATGAAGAAAGAAATAACTGGTTTTCAGGACTGTAAAGAGTTCCAAGCAGCATGCTGTTCCTTACTTTTCTTTTTTTAGGAATCAGACTGATGCCTATTCTTCTGTTTTGAGAAGCTGGAAATCCAACAAGTTATTGTATTCTGAAACAAGTAGATACCCTGTTGCTGTGTCTCCTCCTCTCTAACAGCTGGTGACCAGACACCACACCCCAGGAAATCCTACTGTTCCTTAGATATGCACTATAATATGCCCACAAGGGGGGCTGAACTGACTGGTGACATCTGGATTGGAGGCTGCCTGGACTGTAGTGACCATGCCATGATTCAGTTCATGCTCCAGAGGGACAAGAGACAGGTGAAGAGCAAAACTAGGAAGCAAAACTTCAGGAAAGCTAACTGCCAGCTCTTCAGGGAGTTAGTCAACAAAACACCCTGGGAAACTGCCCTCATGGACTAGGCTACAGAGCAGAGCTGACAGAGCTTCAAGGAGGCTCTTTTCAGGGCACAAGAGCTCTCCATCCCCAGGTGTAGCAAGTCAGGAAAGGAAGGCAAGAGACCAGTATGGCTGAACCAGGACCTGCTGGTCCTGAGAGTAAGAAGAAAATACAGAGGCAATGGAAACAGGGACAGGTACCACAAGCAGAGTATAAGGAAGCTGCTAGGCTGTGTAGGGATGGGGTCAGGAAAGTCACTGAACTTTGCAAAAAAGAACAAGGAAGGCTTTTACAGGTACCTCAACCAGAAAAGGAAAGTCAGGCAGGCTGGTAGCAACAGACAAGGAGAAGGCTGAGGTACTTCACTTTTTTGCCTCTTGTCAGGTCCTCCCTGACAACTGCTCACCACACAGTCCTCAAACATTTGGTTTGGCAGGAGGGGATCAAGGGGTAGGGACGTTGCTTCCTATAAATGAAGATTAGGTTTGGGACCACCTGAGGAACTTGAACACCCACAAGTCTATGGGTCCCGATCAGGACTTGGCTTACTTAACTTTACCAAGTAACAATATTTTGTTTGTGAGTGGAAAGTTTTGATAGGTATCTGCATGAAAGCTTGACTCAGCCAAGAAGCAAGGATATATCTTGAGAGCTCTGCAGCATAGCTGTAATAGCAGGCTTTGATAAGTAGCTACAAGTCAGCTAAGATAGCATCAAGCCAAAATTTCTACGTACTGTAATATGAAGTATTCTCTTAAATTCTCTTCAGTTTCTTGTGCTGAAATAAAAGCAGTCATGCCCTTCTTCTCATTTGCTCTGTCAGAACTGTGTATACAGAGTTAGTCACCACAGATATTTGAGAGCATTGTATGTCCCAGGATGAGCTTTTTTCTGAGCTGTGAAGGGTTCACACTGTGAACCAGCATAAAACCCAAACTAAGGGCTTCCTCCCCATAAAGATCTCAATTATCATAATTGTCTTTGGCTATCACAGTCATTTCATTAAACTCTGATCACCACACAGCAAATCTAGAGATTAGAAAGCAAGTCACTTGGTGGAATACTGATAACAAGCCACAAAACCCTGACCCTGTAGAACTCAAAAAGCATTTGAGAAAAAACATTAATTCACTGCACTTCTAAAGTGTCTCTCATATCAAGATAGAAAAGTGTTTTCACAAACATTGCTGACTTACAGAACCCCTATGAGATATGTCATTAATGTCATTTTACATAAAGGATAACTGAAGCAGTGATATATTTATACCTGGGAAATGAGCCCCTCTTCATGTCCACCATGAGCAGGTAGGTACAAGAAATAATCATGCAGCTTCTTTACATCTCTATTTCTTTCTGACATATATAGTCTGGTTATTCTTACTACTCATACATCATTCTAAATGCATACAGCACTTTGGAGAACATTAACCATTTTAAGTAGTATCAATACATACAAAATAATTCAATAATGATGGCTATATAATAAACTGAATATAGTACAATAGACAAAATCTATTAATTCTTTGGCTTTTTTTAAAAGAATGCAAGATGTAGAGATGGGAAATTGATTAGTATTTAACATTTCCCAAGGTATTTCCAACATCTGCATATCTATTGATATTTTATAGTGTTGATGTAAGTTGGCTTAGCAACAGGGATCAATATATTAACTTTAGGGCCAATATATTAATTTAGCAAAAAGGAATTAATGAATGATAGTTCTAAAGTTTTCCATTTAGCTCTGCTTGGTATGTGCACAGTCTTGTTTTTCCAAATCCCTTCTTCACTGAAGCATTCAAATCACAATAAGCTACGTTTATCTTTGCATCCACCAAGTGCAAGGACTTTTTCTTGGGTTTAATATAAATTGTTTTGAGTTATAGTGCACCAAGATAGAAAGTTGCACATTATGGCATAACATGCCATGGAAATTTGCCAAACTGGGGAAAAACAGCTAAAAGGTCAGCCAAAGGACACCATGATGAAGCTGAAGGAGAGATAAAGAGGAGGACGGAGGTAGTAGTACGACCACCATAGACATGACCACACATGCTCAGAGGGATGTTAGCATGTATTAATGAGTTCTTGGAAAAGAATATGCATGCCAATATATTGCATCTGTACGTCTTATCCGTTTAAATGCAGAACCTGAACTGTGTGCGCATGCGCTTGATTTCTTAAGTTGCCCAACACGTATCACAAGAATAAGGAAATGCTGCTTTCTAGCATCACATTGGAGTTAGTGAGTTTTCTTCCCACATTTTTCCAATGACAGCAAAAATAAAGAGAAAATATTCTGCATCACAATGAATCAAGCAACTGACATTAAATATCAAGAAGTTTGAGAAAGGTACTCACAACTCAAACTTGAGAGGCTACACATCTACAGAAGAGGGCTTCATTTCAGACTCGGGATCCTAGGTCTACAGGTATGGTAGTGGAAGCTGTAGGGTCTGCAAACAGATAAAAAGATATGTATAACACACACTTAATCCTTCCCTTTTTTCCCAGATGGAACAGTGTAAATAGACAGTGTAAGCAATGTAAATAGATTCCAACTTCAAGCAGATGTAAGATGCAGACAAACTTCTCCAGATTTAGACATGTATAGCTGTGACCAAATTGCAATGCCTCAACCCAGTTACTTTGGGTTTGTCATTGGTCTTACTCATAGAAAGAAAATTAAAAGCATTTCCAACAAAATAGATAAATCCTTCTATTCATTGTGGATTATTTATTTGTGTGTTTTGTTTGTTTGTTTGTTTTTTAACTATAGATCTTTCCTTTGGTTTTTGTTATTAATTTGTATTTAAAATGGAATTGTGGCAACTCTACTCACCCTGTTGACCAAGTACGACTTCTGCCCTCCCCACTCATGGAGCTGAGAACTGAAGGGTTTTTCCTCTGCCAAGTTCCTCCATACAGAGTGCCTGTTGATGACAACAGTCATTATTTCCACAAATCTACTTTAAAAAGAACGTCAATTTAGGAATCAAACATCTAACAACAAAAACCCTTTGCTTCCTTTGACTTTATGGAGGAATCTTTTTATATAAAAGTCACACTGGGAAAAACCTACAGTCCCATGCAAGGTCACTAGCTGTCTCTAAGATACCTTTGCTTTAAAGGATCGGTCCTTCTCTTGCAAGTCTTTTGGTTGAATTGCATCTCAGCAAGTACTGGTGAGCCAAAATTGGCAAGCTGTATTGGCTACCCATGTGTACTTTTCAAAAGCTTTAGCAGCCTCTGAGCATGGATCACATCATTTTCCTCCTCCCTGTCCTTTTTCCTTCCAGTCGATTCTCTCTGTTATATATCTGTTTAATAGCATCTCCACAAGTCTCACTGGAAAAATCATCAAGTCTTTGTCACTCCGCAGCTTGCCATAAATTCCTGGCAGGCAGGGAAGAAGCCTTTTACTCTTTGGCCCTGAATTTCTGTTCGTTCCTTGAGCTGTGTTCAAACCCCATCTCAGCCCCAGACATACTTTTACCATAGAATCAGTTTTTAAATGACTCTACACTTCTACTGTCATGAACACCACCTTTGAGCTAGTTCACCTGGAGATTTCATAAGTGCTGGCATTGCTATTATATGACAGCAGTTTTCAGAAGTGAATCTCTGGACTCCATTACTTCATCATACGACTCAGCCACAGACTGCACACTGTGAGGGTGACAAGAAAATAAAGGGCCACTCTTAGTCATAGTTTCTTGAAGGTCAGGTTGTTCCGCCAAAATTATCCAGAGGAGAATTGCTTCTTCACAGGTCAGCCTGACACTTGCAAAAAGAGATTTCCCAAAACAATCAGCTTGCAAGAGAAGCAAAGAGCAGTAAACATCCCTTTCATTCAGACAGCTCCGTTGATATTTCCAGGGGACTTGTGTGCTTAGAAGTGCTCACATCTCAAAAGCTCTCCAGATTTTTCTTAGTGGCAGCCCAGGGTTTGCAAGTGCCCAGTGTACTAGCACTTCTCAGGATAGTGATGATGTTTCATCTGGTGAGTGATGCTAATTAACACCAAACAGGTTTGTTCTACTGCCTCCGTATTTGATTACAGAGAATTATTTTTTATGTCTTTGATTTGTCCAAGCTTTTCCCTCCTCCAAAAGTTTAGGTCAGAACAAGTCTTTTTTTTTTTTTTTCCCCCCCTGGATCAAAGCTGCATAAATGCATTTTACATCAGTTTCTTCTATGTAGTAAACAAACAGAAAAGGAAACAATTTTGACAGACTGGCATCCTGTCTGGCAGGTAGGGAGACATACTGTCAATCATAAAATATCATGGCTGAGAAAGCAGTAAAGAAGAAACCAGAATTCCTGTGTTTCCAGTAAAGTGACAGTAGAACATTTGGTATCTAATAAATGATACTTGCAGGATACAGTCACAGCTTCCTATTAACAGAATAGTGATGGACCATTCTCTTCCACAGCAGCACTGAACCTTTAAATTCCAGATTAATTTAATCTGTACCCAGGGAGAAACTGAAAAGTTGTTTTGAGGTCTTGAAGGCTACAGAAGAATTTAAGCTGGCACAGGGCACACAAACAAGGCACAGACTGGTGGAGAACCTGGCTATCAGCCAGAGTGAACTGCAGTGAGCAAGCTGAGACATTTTCCTTTTAGTCTTAGTAGCGATAGGAACAAGTCACGGATCCACACTGGTCAATTCATCTACTGGAGAAAGGAGTTGACTTAGTTTCGCACCATGGGATATCACTGTAATACCTTGTTTGACCTCTTGCTTCTCAAAAGTGCGTCCATGTGCTTGTACATTATTTATTAAGACCAATGTTGTCTGGTGCCAGCCATAATATGTCAGAGTCCCAGGAGAAAAGAGATGAATCTGCAAACATTTCTCATTGTTTACTGGAAATTACACAGGCATTGCTGCAGACTACAGAAGACCTTCGGAAAGGCAAGAGAATGAATGCATCATGATACAAGTGTATCTCATTTCATGTGATTCTTTATTTCTGGGGTAAATAAACATGAGAACCAGTGGGAAAAGTAGAATACTAACAGGCTCCCTTTTCTTGCCGAGGGAAGAAGGTAAGAGAAATCAGCTCCTTTTCACTGAAAATTCGTGCTAAATATGTTTCCTGTCTGCACTGAAAGCTTAATTAGCATTCCTCAGCAACAGGGAAACATTCAGATTCACAAGAATGGTTGGTTTTGGCTGAGGCTTCCAAGCACTCTCTTAACAATATGCTCCATGGCTATTTTTAAACTGCTTGCAGCATTCACAGCTGAGCATTTTGATTCAAAGTGAAAGTCTTCGACAACAAAAACTGCATCAACAAGAGCGATGTGTTTCTGAGCAAAATGTATGACAAACCTGAAACACACAGAGCTTGGCTCATATGGTACCTATAGCAGGAACAGCCTTTCCCCTCCCACCTGTCAGTCTGAGAAGAAAATGGGAGTACTCAGAAGCCAAACAGATTGTTCAACAATTAATAGATACTAAAATACAATGAGAAATTAATAGCTTAAGAGTTGTTTTGTTGGAGGAAGAATTCAGAAGCCAAAGTGAAGGAACCCAGGAGGAGGAGACAGACAGGACACATCCAGAGTTACACAAGTAGAGGCAAGGCAGGCTTCTCAAAATACCATGCCACCAAATGCACTTTGTTCAGTACTAGAATGTTGCAGGCTGCTGCTATTATCAGCCCCAAAAATACAAAACAAGAACATTTGGTTACTACAGAGTGCTAGGAGCTGGAAATAACACAACAAGCATATATATATTAAAAAAAATACCATCAAAATGTCTCCTCTGCGAGGCCCATCTCTGCAGTTTTGACTGAGTCTTTGCACTTTCAAAATATGATCATATAATACACTGATTTTAAAAAGCAAAATTAAGTACCTGAGAGAAAATGCAAAAATACTTTGAATCACTAATTTGATTAACAGCATTGACTGAGTATTTCAAATGTTTATTTAAAATCAGACATCCATTTAAAAATCAGTTCAGAGCTATGTATTTTGACAAATAAACCAGAGACTTTTTCCTGCCAAATGGATTAACTCAAACACATCATTTGTAGCACAGAAACTAAGAATCTGGTTTCTACAGACAGTTGGGTGAGGTCTCATGGTCTCTACCCCTCATTCTCATGGGGGACTTCAACTCCCCAGACATCTCCTGGAATTACAATGCAGCAGAAAGGCAACAATCCCAGAGGTTCCTAAGGTGTGTGGGAGATAACACCTGCTTGCAAAGCAAGTCCTTGCAAAAACAAGATAAACTACCAAGATCAACTTCCTCTACAAAATAAGATATTTGTGGCTGTAGCCACTTCCTTTAAAACTGCTGGAATGCTTTGTTCCATCCCGGGATCATTCTTCGGGTCCCCAACACATGCCACCTCAGGATCCTGGGTTGGAACACATTGGTCCCTTAAAGCAGTCAGAATATTTTGTTGTATTATGGCATTAGGAAATTAACTATACATACTTAATAGTGACTACACGTGTGTTTGCAGAGAAAAATAAGTGCAAAGTTCACAATACTGATTTCCTTAAGTTTCCAATATTAGAAAGCAATTGTGAAGAAGCTGAAGAGTCTTTACTGACTCTTGAGTCAGGACCTACATAAGGCTGCAGGTACATGCGCTACTCCGGACCCCAGTTGTTCTTGTTATTTACAAGCTTGCCTGTTAAAAGTTTTCAAGCAAAGAAAGAAAAGCTAAAAAGAAAGAAAAGAAACACTGACATATTTCAAAAATCACCATTCCATTGCATTTGAAAATCATAATTGCACCAACATCAGAAATAATGTCTACACGCACATATAAATCTTGCCTAAAGCTCTTGTAATTTTTACTTTGTAATAAAATAAGAATGAGGCCTACATATTTTCCTTTATTTCTTTCTGGAAAAGTCCTGCACTAGTATGTACTGTACATGAATATTTATCAGAGGAAAATAATGTTACGCTCATATTTAATTTTTAATCTGAGATCTTGGATATTATTAACTTTCCTGACAGCATTAAGAGGAATAATTTCATAATTCAGAACTGAAAAGAACTGCAAATGAACCACAAGTAAATAGAACTGAATTACATTTTGCAAAGATCTGAGAAAGAATTGAAGGCATGCAGGCTGCATGTGAAAGCCTACAGAAAATCAGACATATTTAACATGTGGCAGACCTCCCTGCCTTGAGTTCTGCCCCCTGAGTTCCCACACTCTGAGGATAAGTCTGCCTCTGTGCCTGCAGCCTTGGGACATGACTGAGCTATAGTTTCAGAGGTGTTTTTGTTTTGTTTCACATTGCTTGCTCTACTGAAAGAGGTTTCAGCCTTACTATTTGCAAGGAAAAAAAAAAATTGAAAACTGAAACCAAACATAGCCTGTGGCAAGAGCACTGGTGTCCATCTGCAGGGATGTGACAAGAGACAGGAGTGCAGCAGAGAGGACAGCAGGCAGTGCCCCCATCTGTCAGCAAAAATTCTTTGGTTCACCTGAGAAGAACTGGGAGAAATTCTGTGTGTGTTTAAGTACTGTGTGGCTTAAAGGCATCCCCTATGCAGTGGGGTTGACCCTGTCCAAGCCCACTGCACTCACAACTTTAAGCAATGTTGAGGACACAAACTGGGTTTTTCTTGAATGAGAAAGTGTCCTTTAGAGTCACACCTCAAGCATTCTGGCTGCAAATTGGTGTTCAGAACCACAGAATGGTTTGGTGAGGGAGAGGAATGTCCTAGCAAGATTTCTTGCGTCTTGGTGGAGGAGAATGACATACCATTTTGCAGGAAGAACAGAAGGGTTGGTGTGAGGTTGTTTCCATAAACGTAAATCTGAGTATGAACAAAAGAGGATACGAGGGTTTCTTGCACCCAAAAATGCAGCCCAGCTGAGGTGTATTTACACTAATGCATACAGCATGGGTAACAAACAGGAGGAGATTGAG